TATATATATATATATATATATATGTAACAATAAAATAAACTAGGTTTATTTTTATGAATCTTAAAGTGATCACCTTATGGGCCTAGTTGTTAGCGTGCCCGGACTGTGAATCTGAGGGTCCATGCTTAGTGATTCGTTACTGAAAAAAAATACTCCACACTTTGGAGGCGTAAATGCGTTATAAGAGTGACGGTCAAATCTCACTATTCGATTAGACAAGAGTAGTTGAAACATTTGTGGTAACTACTGTTGAATAGCTTCCTTCCCTCTAGTCCATCAGTTTAAAATTTGTCCCTGGTGGGTCAACAGTAAGTCTACGAACTTATAACGAAAAACTCCAGGGACGATGCACAAAGTGCAGATAGCCCTTTGTGTAGCTTTGCACTAAGAAAATAACAACAGCAACAGTTTAGAATTAGGAAACAGCTTACGTAGGTTTTTCAGGAACATTCTAAAACAAACGCCCTACACTTTTTCTTGATGTTCACCATCTAGCAATTGTATATAAATGTCAATATGGAATGCAGTTCTACTGACTGAGTGATCGCAGGTACATTATTGCAATTTTACATTAAAAAACAAAAATAATTGTTTGTTTGCTTTTGGAATTCCGCGCAAAGCTACTCGAAGGCTATCTGCACTAGCCAACACTACCAACCGACAACTATTGGGCTACCCTTTTACCAGCGTATAGTGGGATTGGCTGTAACATTATAACGTCCCCACGGCTGAAAGGACGAGCATGTTCGGTGACGGGACTCGAACTCGCGACCTGCAGATTACGAATTGAGCGTCATAACCACCATTTCATGCTCTTTCTCGTATTCATCACTAACTTGAAACTGTGTTGATGTTTTCATGTCATATAAGGCACTGAGAATTACCACAAAATATAGAAGCACTGTAGTTAAACTTAGATATGATGAAGGAGCCATTCCCATGCTTTCTTAAAGTACTTGCAAAGTTGCTCATCTGATGGAAAACGAAAAACAATTCAGTTTCAGTTTGTACATAATTGGAAAATCTCAACAAAACAAACTAGTATATAACCTCTATTTGATTTCTCGCAGGAATCTTCTTGGTAAAAAAAAACAAAACCCAAAGCTAGAGAACAACACGTGGGGTAGGCCACGAGAGAGTTTTATATATGTTTTTGTATTTGTTTTTATGGTACGAAAGAAGGGGGGGGGAGAGAACCCAGTGAACTCTAGAAAAACTCTGGGAGGTCGACAAGAATAGTTTAATTAAATGAATACGTATTTCTTAAACCAATGCCTTTAACAGAAAAAGCATTCTTAAATCTCAGAAAACATATAAAATGTTGTTGTTGTTTTTTGTCTTTCTGTGCTAAACTTCAAAGTTCTAGATGTTTCTCTCTAAGTTACCTTAGAAATTTCGCATTTGTTTTCTTTGAAAAAAATCGGAAATCGATAACTTTACGAAATAATGGAAAACTGAATACAGGATTTGTTTCGCCATCTGGTAATATAATTTGGAACTTTTTGATCCATTAAAAAACATTGTATTGTACTGTTGATACACTTAGTCTATACCCCCTCAAATAAGAACTGGTTAAGACTGAATAAAGAAGTTATAATAGCTTGCTTTATTACGCTATTGTGAGAGTCTACTTATATTCACTTATTCTCTACACACTCCCCAACCCTTGCACACATTTTTGACTCTAGTAGTAATAGTTGATTTTCAGGTTTTGTTTTTGAATTTCGTGCAAAGTTACACGAGGGCTATCGCGCTAGCCGTCCCTAATTTAGCAGTGTAAGACTAGAGGGAAGGCAGCTCATCATCACAACCCACCGCCAACTCTTGGGACTATTCGTTGGTAAAAAAGTAGGGGATTGACCGTCACATTATAACGCCCCCACGGCTGAAAGGGCGAGCATGTTTGGTGGGATGCGGATTCGAACACGCGACCCTCAGATTGTGAGTTGAGCGCCTTATCCACCTGGCCATGCCGGGCTCTACTTTCAGTCTAGTTAATTAGTTATTAACTGTATTAAAGCAATATTAAGCCTGGCTACTGAATTCTGACTATTATTATGAAGTTTAGAAAACTATATAATATCTTATTCCTTGAACACAGTGAAATCTCGCTGTCACCTACTGGAGGAAATGAATATTTAGCTTCATAACAATTTGTTTTATAATAATTGAATTCTAAATACATTGAAAGTGCATGTGTACAAATTTTACTGTTACAGCAATCTGTTACTTAACAATTAAATTCTTGCTACTAGCAAGTTTGGTAAGTGAAGCTGTAAGATCTCTATCTTCATAATAATATGCTATCTAACATCTGAGAAGATAATAATTGAAAGCACAATTTACAGACAAAAAGTATCTATATTCAATATTGGAAATAATTAAGAAAACGGAGATGGGAAAACAATATAAGAAGCAATTACTACAGTGATGCCAGCATTATATTGTGAAATAGAACTTTACCAGAGTACAATCACGTGTTGATAGTTTACACCGTTATTTGGTATTCTCCAACCAATGAGTAAGTGCCACACCAGTATAAAGCCTAAAAAAAGCGTAAGCAGTTATACTATACCCAGTAGTAGTAGTGTGGTTCCACTTATGGCTTTCAGGACTGAAATACTGCAATACCAATGTGTATAAATAAAATTTTTGATTTGTCAAGGAAACCAAAGCGAAAATTTTTCGCAAGCCTCCGTGATTTAGTAGGAGCTGTATGCAAGACTCCAAAGAGCATACGTAAAAAATGGCGCTGTTAATAATAAACGTGGTTGAGAAATGAACTGGAAATTCTCCATAAAAATGATACTAAGCATCTCAGGGTCTTTTCTTTATGGAATATTCGACGGTTGAGTACACATCTTGCCAATGACGTTACTGTAAATACGGGTGAGAATTTTTGAGAACGGCAAGACATATATTATCACGAAGTGATCTCAATGGGCATATGGTTGCTCGAAAAAAGTGTTCCTGGGAAGTAGCCACACCAAGTGACTGAAATGGACATTGGATACAAACAATGAACTGATTAATAAAGGTGGAGCCAAGTGACTTATAAAGATAAATTCAAATTTGAATTATTTAGCTATAATTAATGACAGTTTATTCGACAGCAGAGAGTAAAACAATATTATAGTCAACGTACAACTTAAACGTTGTTGGGGAGCTATAAAAAATTATGGTTTCCTGACTTCTGGCAAATACATGCAGATTTTAATTCATCATGGCATTCTCCCAGAAACACGACTTATCACGCTGGGATTCGTCTTTCAGCAAGAAAATGATGTCAAGTACACAGCAAATGTTGTGTAAAGATATACAGTACTGTGCAAAAGTGTTAAGACAAAGTCGAAAATTAGATTTCAGTCTACTTTCAAAGAACAGTTGAAGGTAAATCACAGGTGAAATATCAAAACTTTATTAATTTTCATATTTAGCACAACAGAAACTCAGTGGAAGTGCTTGAGTTCAGCAAACAGTTAAAATTTTGTGTCCTCCATTTGCTTTAGTAACTGCAAACATTCTTTCAGGTAATGTTGCAACATATTTAATCAAAGTGTCCTTTGGGATTTTACTGCAAATGTCTCTAATACACCCCAATAAAGTTTCTTTTGCAGTAATTTTTGTCTTGTCAAGTTTTTGATCTATCAACTCCCAGATCTGCTCAACTGGGTTGAGATCGGGGCTCTGTGGGGGCCTTTGGATCATTTGAATGACTCCAGCAGCTTATTTCTTAGCTAAGTAATTTCTGCATAGGTTGGATTAGTGTTTGGGGTCATTATCTGCTTGGTAGTAGAATCCTGTACCAATAATACACAAACCACTGGGTATACCATGACGGATCAGTATCTGATGGTACTTGCGCTGGT